TGCCATTGCTATAAAGAGCAACCAATAAATGGTGAGGAAAAGTGATATGGTTCACAAAAGTATACATAACATTAGCAAGACTAAAAACTTGTCTTTCAAAAAAGGAATATTTAAGTTTCATAATGGATTTGAAAGTTCAAAAATGATAAAAGGTAGAAATAAGTTTAACCAATCCAAAAAACTATATTTCAAGTTAGAGAAGCCTAAAAAAAATTTATAAGTTGAAGGTTTTGTGGAATGAGTAAAAGTACTAAATCAGTTCAAAAAAGTGAAATATTTATAACATTCAAAATGATAGTTTTAGTTCTTCCTAAACTTGTATTTTTCAAGAAACCTAAATCTATGATGTTCATTCCGAAAAGAAGTATTCAACAAAAAAAACTTGATTTGAATATACAGAATGAGTAGAACAACCAACAACATTGTAAAAACAGCGAAACATTCACAATATGCCCTCATATTGTTGAGGTGCCAATTGAAGACCAAACGTCAGTAAAAGATTTTCCAGAGCCTTTATCTTTTTTATATGGTAGATATAACATCAAATTAGTTTTTTTTTAATGGCTAAAATGTTCTTATGCTGATTTAATTGATAAAAATATAAACTAAAAATAAATTAAAATATATATTTTAAAAAAAAAAATTCAAATAAAAAAGAGATAAAAAATAACAGAAAACGATTAAAATAGAAATTTGTTAAACTGAAAAATGAAAATGAACACATTAAAAATGATCAACGGGCAAGTTTAGTAAAAAAGACTGCAAATGATCAAAATTATAAATAAAAATATTCGATTAAATAGATTATAATAGATAAAAATGTGACTGCAAATAGCGTTGAAAAAATAAAACGAGCACACTAACATAGTCTACGTGCAACTTAGATTCATAAAACAATTAGTTTAAGATCAAAATTCGAAATATTTCTTCTGCTAATTTTATGCACAATGTCGAATTGCTTCAACCGACTAGGTTGTAGAACCAAAATTTTATTCTGATTGGATTTTGATCAATCTTCATGTAATGCATTAAGCGATGCAAGAAAATAAAAATACATGAAGTAAGATTTTAGGTTTTTTTTACTTTGAAAATGATGCAGATGTTGACCTAATTTGACTTTTGATCAAACTAATGTATGAATGAATGAATGACCCGGGAGAAAAATTGGGATATGACAATAAGTTACAATGCATAGTGATGAATAGTAATATTAATAAGTGATTATAATTGAATATTATTGATTACGATCACACATGAAAATAGATCGATGAAATTTAACTCCAACAAATTTTCTCAACAGTTAACTCCAAAATTCAATTTACTTTCTATTAGTCCAATTTCATAAACTAACAATCTTTCACAAACCATTCTTATCATATCATCTATTGAACATATTTTTTTTGAAAATACAATAGTTCATGAGGGGATGATAGATTAAATACATACTTATGAGAACATAAATACGTAAACACTTCATTCAATATGGAAGGGTGTTTTCTAAAAATCAAATTTACTACCCTTTCGCTCAAATTTGGGGACATCAGCACGAACAAATTTTTTCCATAACCAATGAGAGTTCCACAATATATTCATTTCTTCAATAGGAACGTTGTTTGTCTCGGGAAGAAGCAAGGCAATGAAAATTGTCATGATGAGCACAAAGCCGGCAAAGAAGAAGAAAAGTCCAAACTTCAAGACACAGAGCAAACTAAGAAAAATTTGAGCAATGATAAAAGTGAACAACATGTTCACAACAACGTTGGTAGCTTGACCTGCAGATCGAACTTCAAGAGCACATATTTCACTAGGAACCAACCATCCCAACGCTCCCCATGACCATGCAAATGCTGCAACATATGCACATATAAAAAATAAAAGAAGATTTGCTTCATTTTTTGTGAATGAGCCTTCACCACTAACTCCAAGCTTCATTGCGATCAAACTTCCAACAGCAATCTACAATCATAAAAAAAAGATTTAGCTTAAATGGTTTATCAATACTAATTTTAAAATATAAAAAATTAATAACAATTAAGTTACATGTTTCACCTGACATATTAACATCTGGATACCACCTTCAAGAAACAAAACCCTTCTTCCAAACTTGTCTACGGTAAAGATAGAAATAAAAGTAGCAACTACATTGACACCTCCGGTAATTACTGCTGACATGAGGGACGCGTCGTTTTCGAAACCTAGAGTTTTGAAAAGGACGGGTGCATAAAACATGATAACATTGATGCCAGTGAGTTGTTGGAAAAATGGAATGAAGGAGCAAAAAATGAGTTGAGGCCTATAACTTGGTTGTACAAAATTCCTCCAAGGATGCTCCACTTTTTTGGCTTCCTCACTTGCATTGATTAGATCTTGAAACTCTTCATCAACATCGTCAATGCCACGAATCTTTTGCAGCATTTTTTTAGCTCCTTCTTTTTGACCCCTTTCAATCATTGAGTTTGGTGTGTCACCTAAAAAAAAAGATCCTACACACAACATGATTGCAGGGACAGCTCCAACACCTAATGAAATTCTCCATCCAAACTCAAGATTCGACGTTCCGTAATTGATAAGGTTTGCACCGAGAATACCGATTGTGATCATCATTGAAAAACCTATGTTGAGTGCACCTCTAATCTTTGCTGGAGCCATTTCAGATAAATATACTGGAACTGACTACAAAATTAAATACAACTAGTATTGTAATATTCATGAACTTTTTTATACATAAAAACATGAAAGCATAAGAATGATATCAATTATTACCTGATTACAATATCCTACACCAAAACCAAGTAACATGCGACCTACGATAAGCATTTCAATGTTGGCAGCAAACCCATTCAAAAGTGCACCAACTAGGAAAAACAAGCCACCTGCAAACATTGAGCACTTGCGTCCCAACTTCCTTGTAGTTATGGAAGCAAAGAAAGAAGCAACTAATGCCGCAAGATACAAAGAAGATGTAAACAAAGTAAGAAGTTCATTGTCAAATTTACAATATTGGTTTGAAGACGCAACTTCATTTTTCATTTGCTTGTAAACACTAGGGAAGAATTTGACCAGGAATGGTTCCATGGCCGTCACTCCTCCTGTAATACCAAGATCATAACCAAAAAGTAAACCTCCCATAGCCGCCACCAAACATGTGACCAACACGAAGGGTGTGAGCTTCCCTTCAAATTGTTTTCCATTTTTTGAGACAACAACACCTCCACCGGCCATCTCTCAAAACTCGTGTATCTTAAACTTTAGGTATGTGCCTAAATTTATTTCTGCACATATTAGATGTAAACAAATATTTTATTTTTTATATAACCCCAACAATTGTCATTAAGATAATAAGCAAACAATTATTTTTTTCAAAAATACGTAGCACTTTACTATTTTTGAACAATCTTCTTCTTAGTAACAAGTAAAGGATTAAAAAAATAGTATAAAATAGCTAATCATTATTAGAGTGTACTATAAGAATGTGTTAGATGATGATGTTAGCATTTCTTTTAATGTTAATATGGAAATACAAATACAAAA